GTTCCGGATGCCTCCTGGACGCCTCCCTGGGGAGGTGTTCCGGGCACGTCCCACCGGGAGGAGGCCCCGCGGAAGACCTAGGACACGCTGGAGGGACTATGTCTCTCAGCTGGCCTGGGAACGCCTTGGGGTCCCCCCGGACGAGCTGGAGGAAGTGTGTGTGGATAGGGAAGTCTGGGCGTCTCTGCTTAGACTGCTGCCCCCGCGACCCGGCAACGGATAAAGCGGAAGAAAATGGATGGATGGATGGATGGATGGATGTATAGTAGGAGGATGTTCTACTTCCGGGTGGATCATCAAAACTATTGGTCCTTCCAAGTGTCAATCATTCTGCTGATACGTGCTCAATGAATAAGATCAGAGCCCTTAAAGTAGCAATATGTAAGATTTTTATGTCAATTCCTCATTAAAGGGCCTTAATCTGTCAAAAGCATTAATAAAACTTGCTCTTTTCCAATACTTCTTTTACTGATAACAGTAGTTCAGAGATATTTGAATTTCTAAATTACTTTTCCAGCCCCTAAATCTTGTTGTTTTCATTTCGATGTACCGCCCTCCACCGTTTCACCAATCAGAAAGTCTGTGATCCGGGCGCCAGAACTCACCGCGTAGAGCTAATCTCACTGGTAAAGTACCATGTGGCGCAGAACTAAAAAAGGTGTTGGTTATAGATTTGTTGTTGACAAAACTCTTGTCTATTCAGCTGTTATGGTCCCAGCTGGATTCGTCTGCATATCTGGCAACCTGAGTCAGGGAGAGTGGGAGAGGCTGCAGTACCACTTTTGGCCACATTTGTACATACTGCTCCTTTAAGTATTGTGTAGAATTTCAGAATATTTCAGATTTTAAACAACACTTGTGCTCTGAACAAGTGTTGAACAGTTCTGAACAGTTCAGTGCTCAGAACTGTTTCCAACTCAGAGAAATTGCGAGTGTCTTTTCGCAGCTTCAGGCAAGGAAAAGGTTTTTTTTTTTTTATACCCTGAATACGTTTCCACCTCTGGCGTCGTGCAGCAACACTCACAGAGCTGTGACACTACTGTAGGTTTATACAGAACAGTGAATTATCTGATCACCAACAAACTCTCGGTGTCAGCTCCTTTTGACGTGGCACTTTTTCTGTTTCCAAATGAACCTTTCAGAATCTCAGTGCATTAGCCTAATACTGCGCACTAATTACCAGGACGCTGCAAACAGGGCCAGAGACAAGTGCCTGTGTGTGTGTGTGTGTGTGTGTGCCTGTGTGTGTATGTGTGCCTGTGTGTGTGTGTGTGTGCCTGTGTGTGTACGTGTGCCTGTGTGTGTGTGTGTGTGCCTGTGTGTGTGTGCGTGTGCCTGTGTGTGTGTGTGTGTGCCTGTGTGTGTGTGTGTGCCTGTGTGTGTGTGTGTTGTGCCTGTGTGTATGTGCGTGTCTGTCGGCAGCACACAAACTTGTTAGTTCGACTTCACAGGCTGTTCGACCGTGCGATAATGAGCTTGCGCTTTTGGAAGGTGAAGACAAGAGTCAAGCAGAATCACACAAACTTGTCCTTGCCTAATTATAGAACGTATTGATATCCAATAACCAACTCACACAGGTCCCCTCACTCTTTAACTTCATGACTCTAGTGCGGCGTGTCACTGCGCGGCTTGTACGTCATTAATCTAAAGTCGACCAGGGCAAAGTGCGGCCCCGGGACCACATGCGGCCCCGTTCATGGTTCTGTGTAGCCCTCAGACCTTTTCCCAGCCGCAAACTTCACACTGTCTCCCATTATCAAACTATCCGATAATGTTTGCAACTTCATGAGGCTTCGATGGCGTGTTATACCTCATAATAACTCATAATAAAAACATTCATTTGTCCACAATCTGTAGCCTTCTTTTGCTTTAGTCCACGCTATAGTTAAAGACAACTTCTTTAACTTCTTTCACACGTCCCTCTCCTTCTCTTCTGTGTATACTTTTATACTTGAATGTGAAAGCCAGATTCTGTCAGACCTCTAAAGCGAAGCAGGGAAGGGCCTGGTTAGTACTGTGATGGGAGACCTGTGGGAACACCAGGTGCCACAGTGGGGCGGCTGTAAAGTGCTGAACTATGGTTGTGTTCTTAGGCAAGACACTTCACCCACATTAGAATTAGTGGAGGAGGGAGGGGCCGATGACACAGACTGGTTGCCTCGCTTCTGTCAGTGTGCCCCAGGGCAGATGTGGCTACAGTAGTATTTTATCACCACTGTGTTTGGAGTGAATGATTGTGAAGTGTTGTTGAGTGTCCTGAAGAGCGTTGTATAAAAGCATATTAAGCTTACACTCAAATATGTTACTTATGTTATATTAAACATAAAAACATTTCGCCTCGGGTGTGGAACTCTCGTGCAGACGGTTTAACATCATTTTGGGCTATTTTCTATTGGTCACTCTTGAAGAATGAAGAACGTATTGTGCTTATTTTGGGTAGGAGCATTTTGTGGTGAAAGATATGAAAGTGGAGGCCATAGTGGTGTCAGTGAGAGAATACTAATCTGAAGGCATCAAAGTTGTTTTTGGATAAAAATTGTACATTTTGCAAAACAAATGAAACCTGAATCGTTCTAGAGTTTGGTGATTCTATGTCGCTTTTATGTCTTGAAAACCAGATTTACCAATGAATCAGGAAAAAAAATATATGTAGATGATCAGAATCAGAATCATTTTTCTTCCTTATGAAAAGTAATATTTTGGTACTAGTGTCTCTACAACTCCCAGCTATCCTTCCTTTTCCCGATCCTGCTTCAAATTGCGATAAAATTGGAATAATATGTCAAAAAATACAGGGAGTTCTCACTGGTTTTAACAGAAGGGAGCACATCACCCCTGTGTTAGTGTCCCTCCACTGGCTCCTGTGCGTTTTAGAATTGATTTGAAGGTTTTACTGATTACTTTTAAAGCTTGTTTTAAGTCTGGCTCCAAGCTATATTTATGAACGTCTAACCCCCTACGAGCCCTTCCTCCTAGAGTTTCGTTCGGGCCTGAAAAATGAAGCCCGACCCGGCCCGAGCCCGCTAATGTTAAGCCCGAGCCCGTATAAGCCCGACCAATGAACGCTGTATAATAGGCCCGAGCCCGACAGAACCCGACACATCTGATTTCCCGTTGTACGCACTCACCTTCCAATTGCAAGTTTAGGCCCTGTCCACACGAAGTCAAGCTCAGGCCTAAACGCAAAAATACTTTATCAATCCAGTGTATCGTCCATACGAGGCCGGCGTTTTGGGGGGGTGTAAACGAACATTTTTGAAAGTAGGTCCCAGAGTGGAAAGATTTCAAAACTCCGTATATGCCGCTCCGTGGTTACTGCCTCTCCGCAATGTATCTGAGACGCTTGCGTCATCGCCCCGCCTCTTGTTAAAGCACGCATGCGCCGCACTCAGAAAATAATGACAACAACAATGTAGCTTGTTGGTTTTGTAATCCAGTGTGACCCGAAGCAACAGTTCAACCTCATCGTCCGTCCATACTAATGTAGTACCAGCTCGCCCACTCGCCATGTTGTCTGTTTACAAAATTCTGCGCATGCCCACGGAAGTTTGGGCTTGATCCCGTCATTGCGTCACAGCGCCACCAACAGGTCTGGCATAGTTTCACAGCGTTTTCAGGCGTATTGACTACATTCATATGGACGCACACATTTACTGAGCTAACTCCGTGTTTACAGAAAAAGTTTCTGAAATTATAAGCGTTTTGTCTTCGTGTGGATATAGCCTTAGTCTCCACTTTTGAATTTGTTTTGTCTCCACTTGATCCATTTCTACTATTGTTCCTGTTCGCTGTTGACCACAGCAGCAGGAGACACGGGGATGATGCGTTCACGGCTCGCTGCTGCTGTAGGACACAGTGTCATTAATATATTAACTTTTTTTAATAACTTGTTGTCAATCAACGGACATTGTTATTAATATATATATGCATATCTTTATGTATAAAAATCATTTAAAAATAATTATAATAATAATAAAAAAGAAACATATATTTAAAAAAAGAAGCCCGAGCCCGGCACGAACCCGACAGCTGAGCGCCAAATGAGGCCCGAGCCCGGCCCGAACTCAAGTCGGGCCTCGGGCCTGCTCGGGCTCGGGCTGAAAAGCGAAACTCTACTTCCTCCTCAGCCTTAGATCCTCAGGCAGGTCCCTGTTGTGTTGACTGTTCCACGGACCGAGCCTTCTCTGACAAAAAAAAAAGTATTATTATTATTATTAAATTATACTAGGAACAGCACAATCCAAACCCATTTTCTAGACGTTTAACTGTCATGGCTGTCAGTGTTTACTTCCTGTTTTATTTTGTATGATCTGTTCTTCTGTGTCTTGTTGAGTTGTACTTCCTGTTCTGTTGATGGCCCCGCCCTGATGTGTTGCACCTGTGTCTCCCAGTCCCTGTGCTCTCTCCCAGTCCCTGTGCTCTCTTCCTGCTGTCATCAGTCCAATGAAAGTTTGTTCCGTGGTTGTTGTCTTCAGTTCCTGTGTTTTATGTACAGTTGAGTTTTGGTATTTTGGGTACTTCCTCTTTTCCATATTTTTTTCCTCTAACATTATCGAACACAAATTAGGGCAATGTTTTCTCAGAAAATGTACAGATGTAAACATACTGCTGCTAATGTACAGATGTAAACATACTGCTGCTAATGTACAGATACTAACATACTGCTGCTAATGTACAGATGTAAACATACTGCTGCTAATGTACAGACTATCATATACAATACTTTATACTTGCTTCTTATTTTGCCAAAGGTAGACATTTTATACTTGTTTCTTTCACACTAGAGTTGGATATTTTTCATTAATTTCATTTATTATGAATTTTTCTTGTGCTGTGTGCTCCTCTTTACTTCTATTCTGTAATTTAAAATGCAACACTGACATTTCCCCGCTGTGGGATGAATTGTTGAATTAATCTCAATCTTAATAACTAACACACCTGCCACACACGCACACAAACACGCACAAACACACACACACACACACACACACACAGTCGTGATGTACCTTGCTTCTGCTGCCCCTAACACCAGCCTCTTGTGTGGCCTTGCAGGAGAGCCGTCGTCAGGGAGAGGGGCCGTGGGCGTTCCCAAAGGCTACTGGAACTTCTCGTGGGTGGCAGAGGACGACCTGAGCTTCCCCCTGGACTCGGCACCGGTGTCAAGTAAGACGCAAACGCCACTAATCCAGACGCGCTCCATTAACCCTCACAAATACACTGCAACCGTTGCGTTATTGTGGGACTATTAGAGGGTTTGTTGAGCAGACTGAAAGGTCAGGTCCGGGTCAGGTCTGGGTCAGGTCTGGGTCAGGTCTGGGTCAGGTCCGGGTCAGGTCTGGGTCAGGTCTGGGTCAGGTCTGGGTCAGGTCCGGGTCAGGTCCGGGTCAGGTCTGGGTCAGGTCTGGGTCAGGTCCGGGTCAGGTCTGGGTCAGGTCTGGGTCAGGTCTGGGTCAGGTCCGGGTCAGGTCTGGGTCAGGTCTGGGTCAGGTCTGGGTCAGGTCCGGGTCAGGTCTGGGTCAGGTCTGGGTCAGGTCTGGGTCAGGTCCGGGTCAGGTCTGGGTCAGGTCTGGGTCAGGTCTGGGCTCAGGCTGGAGGCGCAGACACAGACTAAGCTCATTTCCTTATCTGTGATGGCGGATAGTGCATACATGGGAACTAGAGGGGTTTCTATATATATATATATATATATATATATATTTATTTAATTATTTCTAAAAACAATATACAGTGAGTGGAGGGTGGGAGGTGTGTGGTCAGAGAGTGTTTGGGCCTGTGTCTTGTCGTGTGTGTGTTTGGCTGATTGTGTGAGTTGTGTTGAATGAGTGTGTGGTCAGAGAGTGTTTGGGCCTTTGTCTTGTCGTGTGTGTGTGTCTGTTTGTGTTTGGCTGATTGTGTGAGTTTGTTGAATGAGTGTGTGGTCAGAGAGTGTTTGGGCCTGTGTCTTGTCGTGTGTTGTGTGTGCTTTTGTGTGATTGTGTTTCGCGTGTGTGTGTGCATTGTGTTTGGCTGCTTGTGTGAGTTGTGTTGAATGAGTGTGTGGTCAGAGAGTGTTTGGGCCTGTGTCTTGTTGTGTGTGTGTGTGTGTTTGTGTTTGGCTGCTTGTGTGAGTTGTGTTAAATGAGTGTGTGGTCAGAGAGTGTTTGGGGCCTGTGTCTTGTCGTGTGTTGTTCTTGCATTGTGTGTGATTTTGTGTGATTGTGTTGCGTGTGTAATGTGTGTGTTGTGTTGGGCTGATTGTGTGGGTTGTGTTGAATGAGTGACGGTTTGGAGCCAAATAAGCGTCTGCTTCGTCCAGCCTCTTTTTCCTCTTTCTGTCTTGTTTTTATGACATTTGCATATTGTTTATTGTTTATATGGTTTTCTTTTGCATAACGTTTGAAATAAATTCTTCTTCTATTTTAGTACTACACAGTTTGTATGTATCGCTGGGTTGGACCAGTGGGGGAGGGTCCCGGCTCAAACGTGGCCAAAATGACGTGCGCTGACATGCTGCAATACCACCCCGGGCCTGTGGGGGTGGACCCAGAAGTAGAATAAGACCTCTCAAAAACATGGATGTTTTTGAGATGAAAACTTTACAGGATGGACCAAAAGTTGGCTCTTGGCCCAAAGCTCCGTTCCACATGTGTGTCAATGCTGAGGGGGGTGTTTAAGGACCACTCTAGTTTAGTCGCTGTGAATTTTTGAAGTCTCTCGTTCAAATGAATGGAGCTGCTCCGGCTGACGCATGCGCAGATGCGTTTTTTCACAATTTTCTTGTGGGCGGGACCACTCACGGCCATTTTGGATTGCTCCATGAAAGCACTTTTCATGGCCAACTCCTATGAACAGCGGAGATAGGCGTGACTCTGTCCGTTAATATATACAGTCTATGGGTTGGACGCCGCTGACTGTTTGCTCACTGAGTTTTGTGACTTCTTCCATATTATTTGCTATTTTTCATCCATTGTCCCTGGACACACACACTTATATATCAGTAGTAAAATAACAGTATACATTTCCCATATAAACAGTTAAAAGTTAGTGTTGACAGATGGGTTTTGAACAGATTTTATGAAGCCATCTCTCTGATAATATCCATCGTTTGCTTTGCTCCGTGGCTGAAACAGAAGCAAGGCACACGTTCACATTTGTATTATTCATTACTGAGAGATTCTGCAGCGCCATAGAATTGTTTAAATAGTGCGAGCCATGAGTCAAATCAGTGGCAGCGCCTTTGGCTTCGCAGCTGCTTCTTGTTCCACTCGCACTCAGAGACTTGAACTGATGCAGCAGCAGCAGCAGTGAAAGGACCGATGAATCCACAAACAATACATGACTTTTGGATTATTCCACAAAGCAGTCACTTTTAGTTTTATTATCCATTTGCAGTTTGTTTTTTAGCTTTAGAGAGAACGGACCAGATGTGGAATATTAGGCAAGAATTTCAAGATTCTCCTTTAAATCGCAACTTTTTTGGGACTTCTATAGAGGACCAAGCACGTAAGCAAAACACATTTACTGTTTTTAATTATTTATTTGTTTGGAGGAGAAGCCCCTAGAAATGAAACATGTCGTTTTTGAGAGGGTCCTCAAAATTGCATAAAATGACAGATGCAGTAAGACAGACATAGAGCAAACAATATTACAGAATTCATAGAAAATAATACAAAGACAAAGGACACGCACACACACACACACACACACACACACACTGATTGTTATGAATAGAATGTCTAGCCTGAAAAAGTAAGTCCATCCATCCATCCTCTTTTTCTACCCCTTAATCCATTTCTGGGTCTTGACGAAGTAAAGGTCATTTTTATTGATATAGCGCCTTTCTCAGACCAGAGTCAAAGCGGTTTCCAATTGTGGGCATTAGTCTCTCGCTCCACACAGAGATGGGAGCGGGGCCAGTACAGGAGGCACATGCCAGACCTATTGTACATGTTTTTAGTGGTAGGGGAAACCGGAGCACCCGGAGGAAACCTACGCAGACACAGGGAGAAAAGGCCCTGTTCCGGGATTCGAACCCAGGACTTTCTTGCTGAGAAGCGAGATTGCTATCCACTCAGCCACCGTGCCGCCCGTCTCTATAGAGGACAAAGCACGTAAACAAAACGCATTTAAAAAAACATCAGCGCAATTATTTTCAGAAAGCCAGGCCTGGGAAAAAAATTGTTTTAACCTGAATAGAAAGTGTTGAATTATTGAGAAGGTGAAAATATGTGTGACCCTGGACCAAACAGACTCTCATACAACCCCTATCTGCAACTGTTTAAATAAAAAACTGAGAAATAATTGAATTTATTGCAAAACATTTTAGGCTATTGAAATGCCATTCAAGTCCCGTCTCCTTCAAACCAACTGCCCATGTGCTCTGAATGGCCGGCAGATAATGGTGCCTGTAACAAAAGACTGCACAGCTGGACTCATGGACATACTTTGGTCAAATAAATTAAATCCTAATAGCCTCATACGCACTGGTCCAAAAAAAAGCCATCTGACAGCCCAAGGGCAAACGTAATAAGGATATTTTACAACACATGTATGGCTTCTTCTTGGACGGTAAAAGGTTTTATGTTCGGGTAAAGGGACTTGCCGCACATATTTCTCATCTTGTTAGAACCAAGTGTCGATTTTATCAGGTCTCGTATATCCGTCGAGACAATTTGATGATTTTAAAGCTGGATGATTTCAGCGAGAAAAGTTAAACGTGTTTTGAAAGCGACCGGTTTTGGACGGGTCGAGGCCAGAGCGGCGTTGGGAAAGTGTTGGGAAAGTGTTGGGAAGTGCAGAATGTGGCTATAGGCTGCGGTCGTACATCTCTGTGCCTCCAGCATCTGTTCGACGCTGGCATTTATTACCCCCCATTGGGGCTTACATGGGCACAGCTGCAGCAGGCCTGGGCTCACTCCATCTCCATGACTGCGCCTGTATCCGCTACAGCTGAAGGGTAGTTGTTTTTCAATTACTTTAAGGGTGTGACGATAGAGCAAGCTTTGACCCATTTGGGATGTTCACTCAATTCACTGCAATTATGTAATATATATTACTAAGTATGTTTGTTTTTTTACATGCTAACCACTCAGCCACTTTTGGACCGGTCCATATGAGGCTATCAGGATTTAATGTGAGAACTTTGTGACTCTGGTCTGTGAAAGTGGCTATATACTGTAGATAAAGATTACTTACTCACTTACAATACAATGCAAGAGAATGTATTCTTGTATAGCCCTAAATCACAGTCATCTCAGAGACTTAACAAAACCATTGAAATCACCGACACAGATCAGAGAATCAACAGTTACAAGTGTCCTGGATCACCACGTCCTTTTTGTTAGACACTAACTGTCCAACAGACTTCTGCATCAGAGGAAAAACTCACAAAAACCCAGTGGGAGAAAAGTGAGAAACCTTAGGCAGACCCACTGAGAGAGAGGGATCCGCTCCCCACGAACGAACTGGCTGTAGATCCAGGACTCAGACTGTAGAACGAGGACTGAGGCTGTAGATCCAGGACTCAGACTGTAGAACGAGGACTGAGGCTGTAGATCCAGGACTCAGACTGTAGAACGAGGACTGAGACTGTAGATCCAGGACTCAGACTGTAGAACGAGGACTGAGGCTGTAGATCCAGGACTCAGACTGTAGAACGAGGACTGAGGCTGTAGATCCAGGACTCAGACTGTAGAACGAGGACTGAGACTGTAGATCCAGGACTCAGACTGTAGAACGAGGACTGAGGCTGTAGATCCAGGACTCAGACTGTAGAACGAGGACTGAGGCTGTAGATCCAGGACTCAGACTGTAGAACGAGGACTGAGGCTGTAGATCCAGGACTCAGACTGTAGAACGAGGACTGCGGCTGTAGATCCAGGACTCAGTAGAACGAGGACTGAGGGTGTAGATCCAGGACTCAGACTGTAGAACGAGGACTGAGGGTGTAGATCCAGGACTCAGACTGTAGAACGAGGACTGAGGCTGTAGATCCAGGACCTAAGCTACAGAACATGGACCAGGACCACACAGCGGCTGCTGAACGTGGACAGGTCCGGTGCAGGACTGAAGCAGCTCCCAGGCGGGTTGGAGAGGGCAGTCCGCGGAGTCAAATTTTATACTTGCTCCTTATCTTGCGAAAGTCATGGGTTTTTGTACTTAAACGTATATAGGAGAATTATCTA